TGTGACAGTGACATGGGGACCCCCAAATTGTGGCAGTGTCACTTTGGGACCTTCATGCTCTATCTGTGTCACCCCCAGGTTGTGACAGTGACATGAGGACCCCAAAATTGCAGTTGTGTCACTGTGGGACCGCCGTGCTGGGCCTGTGTCACCCCAATGCTGTGACAGTGACATGGGGACCCCCAAATGGTGGCAGTGTCATTGTGGGAACCCAAAGTTGTGCTTCTGTCACCCCAATGTTGTGACAGTGATGTGAGGACCCCAAAATTGCGGTTGTGTCACTGTGGGACCCCCAATTTGTGGCAGTGTCATTGTGGGAACCCCAAGTTGTGATTCTGTCACCCCCAGGCTGTGACAGCGATGTGGGGACCCCAAAATTGTGGCTGTGTCACTTTGGGCCCCTTGTGCTGGGTCTCTGTCATCCCCATGCTGTGACAGTGACTTTGGGAGCCCCAGATTGTGGTTGTGTCACTTTGGGACCCTCGTGCTGGATCTGTGTCGCCCCCAGGTTGTGACAGTGACATTGGGACCCCCAGATTGTGGCTGTGTCACTTCGGGACCCCCAAATTGTGGTTGTGTCACTGTAGGACCCTCGTGCTGGATCTGTGTCACCCCAATGTTGTGACAGTGACATTGGGACCCCCAGGTGGTGGCAGTGTCATTGTGGGAACCCCAAGTTGTGATTCTGTCACCCCCAGGCTGTGACAGCGATGTGGGGACCCCAAAATTGTGGCAGTGTCACTTTGGGCCCCTTGTGCTGGGTCTCTGTCATCCCCATGCTGTGACAGTGACATGGGGACCCCAAAATTGTGGCAGCGTCACTGTGGGACCCTCGTGCTGGATCTGTGTCACCCCCAGGTTGTGACAGTGACATTGGGACCCCCAAATGGTGGCAGTGTCATTGTGGGAGCCCCAAGTTGTGCTTCTGTCACCCCCAGGTTGTGACAGTGACATTGGGAGCCCCAGATTGTGGCTGTGTCACTGTGGGACCCCCAAATTTTGGTTGCATTGTTGTGGGACCNCCAGGCTGTGACAGTGACATTGGGGACCCCCAAATTTGTGGCTGTGTCACCCCCAGGCTGTGACAGTGACATTGGGGACCCCCAAATTTGTGGCAGTGTCACCCTCCCAGGCTGTGACAGTGACCTTGGGACCCCCAAATTTGTGGCTGTGTCACCCCCCAGGCTGTGACAGTGACCTTGGGACCCCCAAATTTGTGGCAGTGTCACCCCCCAGGCTGTGACAGTGACCTTGGGGACCCCAAATTTGTGGCAGTGTCACCCCCCAGGTTGTGACAGTGACATTGGGACCCCAAATTTGTGGCAGTGTCACCCCCCAGGCTGTGACAGAGACCTTGGGACCCCAAATTTGTGGCTGTGTCACCCTCAGACTGTGACAGTGACATTGGGGACCCCAAATTTGTGACAGTGTCACCCCCCAGGCTGTGACAGTGACATTGGGACCCCAAATTTGTGGCTGTGTCACCCCCCAGGCTGTGACAGTGACATTGGGGACCCCCAAATTTGTGGCTGTGTCACTTCGAGACCCTAAATCTGTGGCAGTGTCACCCCCCAGGCTGTGACAGTGACCTTGGGGACCCCCAAATTTGTGGCAGTGTCACCCCCCAGGCTGTGACAGTGACATTGGGGACCCCCAAATTTGTGGCAGTGTCACCCTCAGGCTGTGACAGTGANACATTGGGAGCCCCAGATTGTGGCTGTGTCACTGTGGGACCCCCAAATTTTGGTTGCATTGTTGTGGGACCGTCATGCTGGATCTGTGTCACCCCCGTGCTTTGACAGTGACATGGGGACCCCCAAATTGTGGCAGTGTCACTTTGGGACCTTCATGCTCTATCTGTGTCACCCCCAGGTTGTGACAGTGACATGGGGACCCCAAAATTGCAGTTGTGTCACTGTGGGACCCCCGTGCTGGGCCTGTGTCACCCCAATGTTGTGACAGTGACATTGGGACCCCCAATTTGTGGCAGTGTCATTGTGGGAACCCAAAGTTGTGCTTCTGTCACCCCAATGCTGTGACAGCGATGTGAGGACCCCAAAATTGTGGCAGTGTCACCTCCAGGTCGTGACAGTGACGTGGGAATCCCCAAAATTGAGGTTGTGTCACTGTGGGACCCCCAGATTGTGGCAGTGTCACCGTGGGACCCCTGTGCTGGGTGTGTGTCACCCCCAGGCTGTGACAGTGACATTGGGGACCCCCAAATTTGTGGCAGTGTCACCCCCAGGCTGTGACAGTGAACTTGGGGACCCCAAATTTGTGGCAGTGTCACCCCCAGGCTGTGACAGTGACATTGGGGACCCCCAAATTGTGGCTGTGTCACCCTCCCAGGCTGTGACAGTGACATTGGGGACCCCCAAATTGTGGCAGTGTCACCCCCAGGCTGTGACAGTGACATTGGGGACCCCCAAATTGTGGCAGTGTCACTTCCAGGCTGTGACAGTGACATTGGGGACCCCCAAATTTGTGGCTGTGTCACCCCCAGGCTGTGACAGTGACATTGGGGACCCCCAAATTTGTGGCAGTGTCACCCCCCAGGCTGTGATAGTGACATTGGGGACCCCAAATTTGTGGCTGTGTCACTCTCAGACTGTGACAGTGACCTTGGGGACCCCCAAACTCTGGTGGTGGCACTGGGGTCACCCAGGGGTCAACACTGGAAAAAAAGGGAATCCCCGTTCCTGGATCCCCCAAAAATCCTGGGATTGGTGTCCTGGGGTCCCCAAAATCCTGGGATTGGTGTCCTGGGGACCCCAAAATCCTGGGATTGGTGTCCTGGGGACCCCAAAATCCTTGGGATTGGTGTTCTGGGAGTCCCAAAATTCTTGAGATTGGAGTCCTAGGGACCCCAAATTCTTGGGATTGGTGTTTTGGGGTCTCAAAATCCTGGGGTTGATGTCCTGGGAGTCCTCAAATTCTTGGGATTGGTGTCCTGGGGACCCCAAAATCCTGGGATTGGTGTCCTGGGGACCCCAAAATCTTGGGATTGGTGTCCTGGGGACCCCAAAATCCTTGGAATTTGAGTTCTGGGGGTCCTCAAATTGTTGGGATTGGTGTCCTGGGGGTCCCCAAAATGCTGGGATTGATGTCCTGGGAGTCCCCAAATCCTTGAGATTTGAGTCCTGGGGGTCCCCAGATTGTTGGGATTGGTGTCCTGGGGACCCCAAATTTCTGGGATTGGTGTCCTGGAGGTCCCAACATCCTGGGATTTGTGTCCCGGGGACCCCAAATTGTTGGGATTGGTGTCCTGGAGGTCCCCAAATTGTCGGGATTGGTGTCCTGGGGACCCCAAAATCCTTGGGATTGGTGTTCTGGGAGTCCCAAAATTCTTGAGATTGGAGTCCTAGGGACCACAAATTCTTGGGATTGGTGTTTTGGGGTCTCAAAATCCTGGGATCGGTGTCCTGGGAGTCCCCAAATCCTTGGGATCGGTGTCCTGGGGGTCCCCAAATTGTTGGGATTGGTGTCCTGGGAACCCCAAATTCTTGGGATTGGAGTCCTGTGGTCCCCAAAATCCTGGGATTGGTGTCCTGGGGACCCCAAAATGCTGGGATTGGTGTCCTGGGGGTCCCCAAAATGCTGGGATTGGTGTCCTGGGGGTCCCCAAATTGTTGGGATTGGTGTCCTGGGGGTCCCCAAAATGCTGGGATTGCTGTCCTGGGGACCCCAAATCCTTGGAATGGGAGTCCTGGGGGGGTCTCGAAATCCTGGATCCCCCCAAAAAAATCCCTGGATTGGTGTCCTGGTGACCCCAAAATCCTTGGGATTTGAGTCCTGGGGGTCCCCAAATTGTTGGGATTTGTGTCCTGGGAGTCCTCAAATCCTTGGGATTGGTGTCCTGGGAGTCCCCAAATTGTTGGGATTGGTGTCCTGGGAGTCCCCAAATTGTTGGGATTGGTGTCCTG